ATTGATAGATTGTTGTTGGTTGTTGTTTTCTTACCCTGAACCATTTTGGAATAAGTTGCATCCATGCTGCTCATTTACCCCTAAGTATATGTGTGTGTGTTTCTGAGAAAACAAGGACAGCTTAAGCAGCTACAATTTAATTATCAAAATAAATGAAATTAACATTGACATAATGCTGTTATCTAGTTTATAGACCTTATTAAAATTTTTTCAGCTGTCCTATGAATGTTCTTTATAGCAAAAGAGGAAAAAGACTTTTTTATGGCCCTGATTCAGTTCACAATCATGTGAGACATTTAGTTGTCATGTATCTTTATTTTCCTGTAATCTGAAATAATCCTTCAATCATTTTGTTTTGGGGAGGGTGGTGTTTTCATGACCTTAATATTCCTTAAGAGTTATTCTTATTCTGTAGAATATCCCTCAGTTTGGGTGTGTCTGTTGTTTCTTTATGATTAGATTCAGATTATGCATTTTCAGCAGAAATATCACAGAAGTGACATTGTACTATTCTGTGCAAGACATCAGGAGGAACATGATGCTGATTTGTCCTATTACTCATCGTGTTAACTTTGACCTCTCAGTGAAGGTGGTGTCTGCCAGCATTCGCCACTGTAAAGTTACTCTTTTTCCCTTTATAATTATTAAGCATTCTACGGGAAAACGCTGATCTATGTAAATATCCTGCTTGTCATCACACAATTCACTCATTGGTTTTAGCATGCAGTAATGATTCTTCCCCAGTCAATTATTACTATGATAGTTGCCAAATGCTGACTTTCTAATTCCATCATTTCTTTTATATTAATTAGTTTCTTTTAAATTTATCTGTTGGAATTCTACTGTAAGGAAAATTTTTCCTTTTCCCCATTTACTTATATTAGTGTGGACTTACAGATTCTTCTTTTGTTCAATGGGTTACGATTATGATATTCTGCTTGCTCAGGTTTGGCCAGTGAGGGACTTTTTAAGCTGACTTCGTGTCCTTTTGACATAAACCCACCAGCCTTCTTTTTCACTGGCACAACATGGTGTTACACATTCATACATTCCAGCACCAGCCCTGGAATCAGCCATTTCTCCAAGAAACCTAGGTTCTTTTGGTGAAGAATGGTATTTTGAAACCAAATTCTGGGTGCTAGGTATGATCATTGCTACTCGAATGTCACTGCTGTAGGCCCCTTATGTGTGTGTGTGTATAGTACTATACACACACACACACAAACCCATTCATAAATGTCACTGCTGTAGGCCCCTTATGTGTGTGTGTGTATAGTACTATACACACACACACACACAAACCCATTCATATCTCTCTCTCTCTCTCTCTTTCTCCATACTGTTACCTCTGATTCCAATCCCACACCACAGGATTCTTTCTAGCCATCCCTCTTTCTATTTTTATAGTTTCTTTCTCTCACAGTGAGAAACCTGGCTGCCATTTTCCACAGCATATTTACATATTTCTTCAATCTTAAAATACACAGAAAGTAATTCCAGAATTGATAGCTAATACAACTACGAAAAATAAGTCCACTTACTAGAGTTCAATATTTGTTTATATTCTTTTTGTCTTTAAGCTAAACGTATACATTTGAATGGGTATGATCAAAAGCTACTTGGATTAGGTTACTAATTTGAAATGCAATTAGGTATATTTGCTTCAGTTTGTATTCCATTTGGGTTTTTTTTTCCCCCACCTTTCTTGATTTTGTTGTTGGATGTGTGAAATATGCTTCCAATAGTCAGAACTATACGAAATCATACTTAGATAAATGCCACTCCCCTATACTTACTTTCAGTTTCCACCCACCGATCTTTTCCACTGTATTCCCACCCACCCCCTACTGGTAACTGAGAGGCAAAAACACTCAGTTCAGTTTCTCCCACTGTACTCTCACAACATGCTTCTGACACCAGGAGTGTGGGAATTTTCCCCCCACACCAGCAAGCAAGCAGTTCTGCAGGGGAAATCAGTGGATGCCCCCAATTCAGTTCCAACACTGTTTACCTGGAGATAGCATCAGGTCCCACAGATTAAGAGCTCAGTCCCCAAGACACTCCCCCTGCCCCCATTCCAGTTCCAATCACAAGCCCCAAGTTGTTTTATCTGTGCTTCTGACCAACCAGCTATAAATCTCGGTTCCCCTGATTCCTCCTTCGGTTTCATTCATTTGCTAGAGTGGCTCACAAACCCAGGGGAACACTTACTTACATTTACTGGTTTATTATGAAGGATATTTTAAAGAATATCAGTGAAGAGATATACAGGACGAGGTCTAGAGGTGTCCCGAGCTCAGGAGCTTCTGTTCCCATGGAGTTGGGGTGTTCCACCCTCCTAGCACGTGGATGAGCTCAGCTGTCCAGAAACTCTCTGAACCCTGTCCTTTTGGGTTTTTATGGAGGCTTCATTATGTAGGCATGACTGAAGCATAGACAACCATGTAGAAATGTGATTGGACAAAAAGAGTGTTATCTACCACTAGCAGACTGAGTGGAGGCCTGTTCAGACTTTTTGTTTGCTCAGCATGGCCTGTTTGTTCAGATTCTTCTTGGCCTCTTTGTGCAGCATTCCCTCCTCCCAGGTATGGGGCAGGACCCCTCCTGAAATGGGGGGTCTTATCACCTACAATCTGACAAGGTAGGTCAGAGGATTTCTTTATGGCCAGCTCCAAGACAGAGAGGCAGGAGAACGTTAAAACAAGCCAGGAACTATGGACAAAAATGAATATATATGTACGATAATATCGCAGTAACCAATTTCATCAGTTTCCAGATTAATTTTATTGTGTTTCTCTTTGCACAAATGAGAATATACATGTATATTTCCTTATTTCTCCTAATCTCTTTCACAAAAATAGCATATCACATATTCTTTTGTTCACATTGCTTTTTTCATTTAACAATACATCCTGGAAATGACTCCATATCAGTTCATAGCAGACTTCATTTCTTTTTACCTCTGCATAGTCTTCCATGCATGGATTTGCCATAGTTTTATTCAATCTCTCTGCTATGTATGGGCATATAGTTTGTTTTCTATTACAAACAATTATATGCTTCCGATAGTCAGAACTATACAATGAATGACATTGTGCATATATGTTCTTATTAGTTGGAAGTGTGTAATTAGGATATATTCCTAGAGTGCGATTGCAGGGTTTTTATCTTCTTTCCACTTCAATTATTAAGAGTTCTTCATATGTTAGGACTTTCAGCTCTTTATCTGTGATATATACTGCAAATATTTTCTCCCAATTTGTATTTTGCCTTCTGTTTTTGCTAGTAGTGTTTTGTATGATGCAAACATGTTGTTGTTGTTGTTGTTTTTAATCTAGTTGTTGTTTTTTTTTATTGCCGCTAAATAGTTACAAAGACTTCCCTACACTCAGGTTATACAGATATTCACTCTTGTTTTCTTCTAACACTTGTCTGGTTTCATATACTTACATTTCTATCTCTGATTTATTTGGATTTTATTCTTGAAAAGATTCTTGGAGTTTTGTCTTTTTTAAGTGGCTATGCAATTGTACTAGCACCTTTTATTTTAAAGTTCTTATGCTGCTTGTATGAGATGTTGCCTTTATCATACACAAATTTTTCATATGTACTTGGGTCTGTCTATTTTGGACTTTCTACTCCATCCACTGGAGAAATGGAGGATTATGTAAATATTTGTAAAAATATAAAGCAGTGTATTAGAAACATTTTCCAGGAATTTTACAGGCCTGAGGGGCTTAAAAGAGGAAATGCTCCTCTCTCCTGCTTCAGAGACTTTAGAGAGGGGATAATGCTTTAGATGAAGCATCTTTCCAAAAATTGATTTGCAAAAATCTCATTTGCATGCAACTTGTTAGAAATGCATCTCTCACACGATGCACTAGGACATCAACACATCAATTCTTGTCCAACACAGCTATCTGAGATCACTCATATGCGTAAGGGAAGGGTTATCTGCAAATGCAGGAATCTCCGCGTATAACTTCTGGATTAATTCTTTCCGACATACCCAAACTTAATAGAAACACTGAATAATGTCAATAGTAAAATAGAAAACAGCAGTAATAAGAGGAAACTTCAGTAAATGGAACATGAAGTGCCGTTGGTTCTTTTAATATCAGATTTTCTTAAAGAACAAAAAAAAGATTTATACTCTTTTTCTATTAGAATTCATGATGATTTGGTTCCACTCCATTTATTCTTAGTATCAGACTTTGCTTATCCAGGACAACTGCTATGTGGGAGAGGGACCCTCACACCAGGGTAATAATTGTGGGTTGGCTTGGTATGGAATGCATTTCTACTTATCACATGAATGACCCTCACGTGGTGAAATGAGAGGGCAACACTCTAAAGGACAAATCTGGTACTGTTTGCTCAGAAGTAAATTCCCCTAAATCAAATGTAGCAAAGATTTTTTCATTTCCTAATTGTAATGATCTAGAATGAGGAGGGTTTTTTAATTGCCTGTATCTTTATTTACTCAAAGTATGTAAAATTTAATTGCTGCTTTGCACTGCATGTGCTACAAACCATGTCTGCATCAGGTGGTTTTGGTACTTACCTTGCATCCGATTTGAACCGTGGCAGGTGGCAACCAAGATAGAAGGGAATGTCACACTGAAGTCTTGGGTTATGTATTCTAGCTCAGCTTTGACAATCATTTTTCAGTAGTTACTCACCAAATCATTAAAATAAGATGTTCGTATTTGAATACATTTTTTGATTGCCTTGGTAAAGGGAAGACAGAAAGCCGTCCTTCAGTATGATTTCTTTTTAAATGCATAGCCATCCGGATTAACAATATAAAACTCCTCAGATAGCAAAAATAAGGCTTGGGTGAATTCTGAAGTAGAAAAAAATATATACATCTATAACCTATATATGACCAATTCTAAACAACCTGCTTAAATAGTGTATTTGTTTTGAAAAACAATAAAATTTCATGGGCCTTTATTGAGCTTGGTCATATTCATCTTAGTAATTTCTTTAATTTACAGTTGGTAATCAGTGGATAAATTACATATCGTTCTGTGGTCTGAGAACACATGCAGAGCTTGAAGGAAACCTTGTCACTGAACTTATCTATGTCCACAGCAAGCTGTTAATTGCTGATGATAACACTGTTGTTATTGGTAAGTATATGGTCTGTAATAGCATTCCTTGCCAGGTGACTTACTCTGTGCAAAAATTTTTCTTGTTATGCCTCCCAAGATTTCTTTGCAGTTGAGAGAGACAGTAACACAATATCTAAAACATTTCTGAAGCAATCATTTTCTCTTCCGTCCTTTGTAACCCATTTTTCTCTGTAAACACTCAGAGGTACAGAGCAATTAAATGGCCTTTGGGCACTATTTCACAATATTGTGCACAATATTCAGAGGCAGCAGTTTAACCCAGCCACCCTGTTATCTGCCTGCTCTCATTAATTCTTTGTTATTTCCTTATTTTTACTTTGAATCTAAAGACCTAGATTTCAGGATTGGAGGGGGAGAAACGGAGAAGAAAAGTATGTCTTAAGTGAGTACCTGTGCTTACACCACATCCACCTAAGCATTACCCCAGATCTGTGTTATGTAAAAGTCAAAATCAGAAGGATGTTAAGGTATTGCTGCTGCTACACTCACCATTATTTTTCCTAATATCTATGTCTGGGTGTCAGTCAGGGTGTAGAGCAAGACAGCTTTGTTGATGTGTGTGTGGTTTGAGGAGGAAATTGTGTACTAATGACATGACGTGGCCCTACCTACACTTGTCTTCTTGTCAGGGATACACAGTACATTTCTCCAAAGGCCTCTCCCCGCTGACAGATTCAGGAGAGAATTATTGGTTGTCTACCCACATTAGATCAACTTGACTAGAGAGGTGGATATTCAACTTTATTCCCTTATACACAAGGAAAGCTACATTTTGCCATTGTTGAATTGTTCTGCCTTCTAATATTATGTGATATGAACCCTGGAAGGCCAGGATGAGAAACAGAGTTTTAATAACCAGCCGGATAAACGAGTTGACGAGATTGGGGCATGTTGCCTAGAGATGTGATGTGTCCCACTACTAGGAATTCTGCTCATCTGATTTAAATAAAATGTAGTTTTTCAGCTATAATAAAATATTTCTCTATCCTTTAAGAAACTAAACGTCTAGGAGTGTATTGAAATTTTTTGACAGCAGATATGCTTTCAATCCTTCACTGAGAAAAGAAAAAAAAATCTCATATCTAGGAGTAATGAGACTGTCTTATCTAGAATATGATTGAAAAAAATTGAAAAGTACTTCTGAAGCCAGAAAATGTATAGTCCACAGTGTAGTGAGAGAGAGACATGCACATTCATTTAATATTTGTACAGGGCATTTAAGGAAAATACCTTATTCTCTCACCTCTTGCTCCACAGGAATAGAAGCTCATTAGGGGCTGATTTACTACCCCACTTCCCCCAGTACACAGGTTTCTCTTACTTCCCTCAAGCTACTCTGGCCTTATTCTTCCAAAGCCACCCTCAGAAGACTTTTATATTAAATTTGGCAGTGACGGTAGGAAAGAAAAAATATCGATGTTTGCTGAAGTGGAAAAATAAACAAAGCCAAGGAAAATTCGCTTTCTGAAGATAGCGAGATTTCGGAACTCTTGAAATGAAAATTGACAGATATAAGTATTTTCCTTTGAAAGGTCATTTTGACTTTCAGCCTGCTTTACGTAAAGTATAAAAGCAAAGTCATTTTCAGTAACAAAGCTAACAGTTAAATAGATTTGTTGAGCTTTTTATTGACTTTTTTTCAGAGAGAGTTCTCTGAACCCTCAAAGGCTACAGTGTGTTTAGGCTAGCAATAACTGATCGATTTTGCACACAGTTCTTATCCACTATTGAAACTGAAGATGTGGCCTTGGGAGTATGAAGTGGTCTTACTTGCTAGTTCTTAGAGACTGGATTTCTTTCTCTCCCTAAGGGCAGTGTGCCTTCACGATGAGATTTCTCCCGAGGAAAAATCCAAAGATTCTTTTGTTCTGTTTGTCTCAGTGGAAACTCTAAGAGTAAGCAGGTTTGTGGTTGCCTCTCTAACACAGCATCCCTGTTTAAGTTCATAACGCAGAGAACAAAGTCTAAATTTCTCAGAGGATTTTGAGAAGTTAGGCTGAGAATATTTTACAGGTGTTAAGCAAGTACTTAAAGCTCAAAGAAAGTTAAAGTAACCTGTGATTAATTTTTCTAACATGGCAAACTTATGCCAGAATTATTGCATAGCTAAGATAAGAAAAATGATTAATTGTTTATCCTCATTATGTTCCTTATGAGGAAATATTTGTTTTTTTCACTTTAAAGATCTCTTTTGTGTATATCTTTCATTACCTGTCGCCCAGGGTAGCATGGTCATGAAATTTGTGACCAAATCCAGTTCTCCAAGCCATCTTAATTTTAGCACTTAACGAAACATCTCTTTTGTGTATATCTTTCATTACCTGTCGCCCAGGGTAGCATGGTCATGAAATTTGTGGCCAAATCCAGTTCTCCAAGCCATCTTAATTTTAGCACTTAACGAAACTAATATTTATTTGCTTTCCTTTAAGTAGAATTTAAGTTTATCATGTTGACTAAATGAAACAATTGTTTTTAATGTTCACCAATCCACTGCGAAGCACAGTAGGGAGATGCAAAATGTGAATGAAACAGTGCCACTGCCCTCAGAGCATACAGGCTAAAGGAGAGGCAGCTATTCATTCCACCCAACACCGCAGAAGTTGGGATGGATATTGCTGAACTAGAGCGAGAAGATCCAGAGGCCATCAGTGAGTTTGGGCAGGCAGGAAAACTGCAGAGGTCATGAATATCAGAATTTAAAGGCAGGCTTGAGAGTGGCATATGAGGGTCTGAAGTAAACTATTTTCTGTTTAGGAAAACATGCAGAGTGTGATGAACATAAAATTCACCATCAAGTCTCCTTCTTGGGGAGGGAATGGTATGCACGGGAAGGTGCATAAATGGGCTTCTGGAATGTGGGAATGATGTTTTCAGCCTGGAAGATAAATCCAGTGATGTTTACTTTATTATTGCTTAAGTTGGACATATGTGTTTTCACATACTCTTACATTTTGCTATATTTCACAATTTTTTAAAAGTTTTATATAGACTCCAAAAAGGTCATTTTCTAAAAATTAAATGGTTTTAAATGATCAAACCACTTCACAAATTCTGTTTTGCAGTTATCATAAAAAGTAATGCATGAATATAATGCACATTTGTTGTAAGCAGTTTAAAGTCTAAGGACAGATAGAGAGGAAAAGGTCAAAATTCCCCGTTTTTCTCTCTCTTTCCAGGGAGGCACTCACAACTGTTAACACTTCAGTGTGTATCTCTCTAGATGCTTTACTTTCTCTTCTTCCTCATATGTTATATAAAAATGGGATAATACTACATATACTGGTCTGGATTAGATTTTCAGAATACAGGAAGTTTAACAAGAATGAAGGTAGCATTTACATCCATCAATATCATCTTTGTCTGTATCTAATTTATTCAATTCATCTAAAATTTTCTCATCCCTTTCTCCACACTGCTGTTAAATAATAGCCAACTCACTTATCCAATGTGGTGAACAGTGCTCTGGGTAACTCCAGATCAGCCCTTAAAGTACAAGAACCACATCCTCTCTCTAAGAATTCCAGCTCACCGTGCTGAAATATGTTCCTCCCCTGAGGACTGTGGGGGCCCACGGTGGTGGAAGGGGGTCTGGGATTGGTGTGAGAGCGTGTCAGAGTGTGTGTGTGTGAAGGCAGCTTTCCAGGCTGGCTCGTGTCCCCAGTGCTTCTGACAGTGAACAGAGCAGCAATGTCTGCCCCTTGCAGCAGCTTCTGCCAGACAGCAGCCTCTGCCAGGGACAAAGGGGTAGTGAAGTCCCAAAGCAGCACTATGGGAACTTCATTTCTCCAGTTCTTACAGTTCACACATGGGGTGATTAAGCCAGAGAGGAAGCTTCTTCGATGCAAATGCTGCTTTCCAGAAAGTTGTCTCTTCCTATGGCAATGTTCTCTGATGCAAATGTTATAGAGTTAACAGATACCTGATAATAGTGCCAATGATAATTAACATTTGTAGAGTAAGAGCTTTCACATGGTCTTACTTAATTCCCACAGCATCTCTACAAGGTGTACACACACACACACACACACACACACACACACACACACACGTATATAGGTATATTATATATATCCCAGTTTATAAAAGATCAAATTAAAGCTGAGAAAGATTAAATGACTTGCCCAAATTAATGCTGGGCCAACTGTCAAGCCCAAAGATATGGCTGCAAACTTTATAGCATAATGAAAATGTAAGTGTTCCTTATAAAGGACAATTCATTGCTTACATATCAAAGTGTTTTAAAGGTTCTCACCTTACAGCACTCCAATAGCACGCCGAAATTTCTTTGGGGTACTCGATCCTTTCTCTGTCACCAAGGGCCATCATGGGGCACCATTCACATGTGTAGTCATATTAGATTTGTATATTAACTATATGACAGTATTCTGGCAAATGACAGTAAAGTCTCTTCAGGAAAGGGCAGCTTTTTCTCATGCACAAAATCCTGCCATTTGGGCTCACAGCAGGGCTGCTCTCGCCTGACAGTTCTGGCTGCCCCAGTCACAGGGAGCAGCCAGGGCGCCTGTTCAACCTGACCCTTCTGCTCCATGTCTGCAGAAGCAGCCGAGTGTGGAGACTGGGCCAAGAGGAACAAGAAGAACAAAGAGTTAGTTGGGCACCTTTTGTAGTTTGAAGGACACCTCAAGGATTCAAAAATGTGAATCTGCAGTGATTAATGCAGAAAACGTGATGGGGTTTCTGAATTCATGGCAGAGGACCACAGAGAGCACAAGTTGAACTAATATGAAAATCTTTGCCCTTCACATGTAAAAGTCAACATTCTCAGCTCATTTGGATTTAAAAATAAAATGGAGGGAAGTTGATACAGAAGTTGATGGCATTTCACACAAGTGAGGCAAGAGAGTGGAAAGCCCAAAGCCACTAATGACAATCTGTATTTGAAATGAGACTCTGTTGATTGTGAAGGTACTCTTGGGTTTTGACATTCATAATTATATGATTATGGTTAAATCTACAGAGAGTTTGATTCTTAATTCTAAAAGTGAAGCCATCTTCTGTATTGAACTGGTAACATGTCTTTTTCTTTTAAGTACTTGATGATTATATCAGTCAGAATCCTTTGAGCTGCAAGATATAAAACTCAACAAAAAGTGTGTGAAACAGTAAGGAAAGTGTATTATTTCACATAACAAGGTAAGAAAGTTCTAGGGTTGGCTAGTTCAGTGACTTAAAGACCCAGAGTCTTCTTTTTGCTCTGCCTCTCCCAGCCTATCTGTCTCCTAGTGGTTGCAAAATGGCTGCAGCAGCTCTGGAAATCATGTCTTCATCCAGCCCATCAAGCCAAAACAACAAACCATTCATTCCTTGTGTTCCTTTGTATAAAGGAGAAAAACTTTTCAGAAGCCCCTAAAAGACTCTCCTTTAGGTCACACATCAAGTGCCCATTCCTAAGCCAGTCACTGGCAATAATAATGAAATTACCATGGCTGGCTTAGACTGATCCCTAAGTTAGGGAGTGCCTCACCTCCCTATAGCACATCTCCCCTTGATGACCTGAATAGAATTACGGTTTTGTTAGCAAGGAAGAATTGAGTGGAGAGGGCAACCAGTGTCTTTCACAGTGAGAATGTTCAGTTTCACTGTTTCTCCTTATAGGCTCTGCCAACATAAATGACCGAAGCTTGCTGGGAAAGCGTGACAGTGAGATGGCTGTCATTGTGCAGGACACAGAGACGGTCCTTTCGGTCATGGATGGAGAAGAATACCAAGCTGGTCGGTTCGCTCATGGACTTCGGCTACAGTGCTTCAGGTCGGCCGTCCCAGGCTGTGTCTCCCTGACGTAGTTCCACAGAAGCAGGCATGGGGACCCAGCCCTGAGCACCCGTGTCATCCCAGGTTCCTCTTTGTCTGAAACAGTGCCTTGCAGAATATAGATGTGCACCACCACCAATAGTATGCAAAATGACTTTCGGCAGAACACTTTTTATCTTAATAGAGTTTTATTATCTTTATGTGCCGTAGAAAAACTAGCATTTTAAATATATTTATTGATTTAGGACCAGGCCAGATCAAACCATTTAGTGTCTATTTGAGTTTTTAAAAGTGAGTCCAGTTTTACAAATTAAAGTAGTTTCAGTAATACAAGGATATAATAGAAGTTATTAAAAGAGTATTCCAGTGACTACTGGTGTCTAAATGTGGGAACTCCTGTTCTCAGGTTTAAGATAATTCCAGATATGGAAGATCCCTGATCTTTGGCAAGAAGATGTGAGTTTTAGACAAATCCGTGGTCAAGCAGAGAGAACACTGGGCTAAGAAGCTGGCCTCATTTAGGCTGTGTGATCCTAAACGAGTCCTACAGCCAATAAAGCATTATTGAGAACTTTTTGGGATTTGATCTAACTGCCCACAGCCCCTGTAGTCTATTCTCCTCAACCGAGTGATCCTTCTAGAACCTTCTAGATCATATTGGATGAACTAGACAAGGACTGTCTGTGGACCACTCACCCACCTCTAGGCCTTTGCAGGAAGTCCACCATTTTATGATTCTAGAACTATATTTGCCATGGTGCAATTTCAGTGTAGCCTCTAGAGTGAGATGCAGCAAGGGTCCCTGACACAGTTGAGGCCGGTGCTATTTAAGAAAGGGCAGTGCACTGCAGCACTGTCGTTTTAATCCTTCATGTGTTGATGGTCCATTTCAGGATACTCCCTGCAAATGCGACAGACGTATCTCTCATTCCTACCAGTTCAGACTCTGGCTTCTGAGACCAAGATAAGCTTCAGTTCCAGGGGCATTCATTCTCCTCTCTCTGCCCAAGTAGCTCAGCAAATCCTTCCCTCAAAATCAGACTGTCTGGGGCCGGCCCGGTGGCGCACTGCTACAGCGGCGCTCCCGCCGAGGGTTCGGATCCCACATACAGACCGGCCGCTCACTGGCTGAGCGAGGTGCAGGAGCAACACCGAGGGTTGCGATCCCGTGGCCGGTCCCGGTCCGGTACGGGTGCGACACTGAGGGTTGCGATCCGTTGCCGGTCACGAAAAAAGACAAAAAGGAAAAAAAAATCAGACTGTCAACACCTTCTAACAACTTTTATTGCTGTATTTATTGCCTTTGCTACTAACTGTTTTGCCAGTAAGAATTTTTTTCAAACCATTGATATTTAAATTCACTTCTAATGTTAATTTGTTTTGTTTAGCAGGGAAGAATTTAAAATTAGTACCCTGCTAATCAACCCATTGATTGCCTACTGCAGCATATATAGGGAAACAAATATTTCCTTTTGTAAGCTGGAAATACATGCATATCTTTTCAGTTCTGTGAGAACTTAAGTGTTCTTTTTAAAGTGGGCTTTTTTACAACTTTTTAAATGTATAATAATTATAAAGGTAGAGTGTTCTGATTACAACACATTTTTATTGTGGAAATTTGTCAAGTACAGAAAACAAATAAGAAAATTAAATTCACCTCTTGTACCACTACCCAGGGCTAACAGTTTTAACATTTGATATATATCATTCCACTTTTTCCCTATATGTATATAGCAATATACTGTATTTCTTTTTAAAAAAAAAAAAAAATTAGAATCTCGAAGGTCTACAGCATGTCATTAAGTATTCTGCTATAATATTTTAATAGCTACATCATATTTCATTGTGTATGTATGCCATAATTCCTTTAACTAATACTTCATTGGCAAATTTTTGCTGATTCAAAAAAAAATTGGTATGTTTGTAGATACGACCTTGTTCACCTTCTTAACTGTTTCCTTAGACTAAGGAAACTTTCTTTGTGCAGCTTCCTTTGCCCTTTAACTTCTAGTCATATCATTAGCAATGTTTGAGAGGGCTTATTTCTTCTGTCTTTCCTGAGTTCTATTATTTTACTTAATCTTTGCCAATTTGTTGAATTGCAAATGGAATTTTATTATTTTAATTCAGATTTTCTAGATTTTTTTCTTATAAATGTGTTTATTAGCCATGTGTGATTGTTCTTTTGTCAGTTGCCTAGCCTGTTCATGTCCTCTGCACCACTATGTTGGAATGTTTAACTTTCTTTTAATTTTTGTGACTACTTTAAATATATAGGGTGCTAATTCCTTTGTTACATGGGTGCAAATGTGGTTGGTCAGTTGCCTTTTGATCATATTTAGAGTATTTAGGGGAAATTTTTCAATTCTTATTAACCAAATCGATCAGCTTTTTGTTTTTTTCTCCTTTTCCTAAATGCTTAGAATAATTTCCCCAGCCCAAGATCAAACATTTACTTATATTTTCTTCCAGTACTTGTTTTGTTTTGCTTTTAACATCTGCAGTTTATTTTAATATAAGAAAAGAGGTAGGGGCTCTAACTTTGTTTTTCCAACTAACCAGCTGATCCAGAGCTATATGTTGTAGAGTCGTACTCTGCCTCCCTGATCTGTAGTGTCTCTTTATGATAAACTGAATTACATTTATTCTTATTTCTAGTCTTTCCATTGCTATATCGAATGTCTGTTTACTTATATACCAGTGTGATGCAATTTTAATTATTGCGGCTGTGCATTTTAATCCTACTTTTTGCCATACCGCTTCCTTAAATTAGTATTTTTTACCCAGAATAATCTTTACCTTTTTTTAAGTATTCATCCTTTCACTTGAACTTTGAAATTATTTATTCAAGTTCTCTCAAGTCCTTAATAGTTTTTTTAAAATTGGGATTAGAGCAGACTTATAGATTAATCTGACATCTTTCTAATATTGAGTCATCCTGTTGAAGAACAAGATATGGGCTTCGGTACATTCAAGTTTTTTGGTTGTGTTCTTCAATAAAGCTTTAGAGTTTTCATTATTGGAGGAAAAGGGTTGAACTTCAATAAATCATTCACATTTTTTTTTTCTTTCATGCTGATCCTGTACATTTCATGCTAAGTTTATTACTAGGAGCTTTATTTTTTGGAGCAATTTTCAAATTGTCTTTAAGAGCCAGTTGTTCTTAAATAATTATTTTCATTTTGCCCCAATGACATACACAGATAATACATTAAACAACACCACAAAAACCTTTTGTCAATGTTAGCCTCTTTTTATTAAGAATTGTTGTTAAAGATAAATATTGTGGCCTAGAGCATAGCCATTTGCTTATTTTACAAAATGGAGTTTTAATCCATTTTTCATCTGGGCTATTTTTTAAATAGAAATAGAGACACAGTTCAATGTGAAATCAGTTCTAAATAGAGACAGAATGAACCAACAGGGTACTGTACCGAATGTCACCACTGTGAGCCCAACAGTCAAATCCTGGAAAATTATCCAAACTTTACAGATATAACCATACTCAATAGAAACTATTCTCCACACAAGTAGAGCTCAGAATCATTTAGAGTGATAGACATGAGGAATGTAAAGAAAAGAAATAAATTTTTGCAGTTTTCCTATGGTCTCACTTTTTGTGATGAATAAACAAATATTAAATAATGGCCCTTATACACTGCCATATGCAATAAAACTAGTGATTCGTATTATTTTTACTGTGCATTTTAACATAAATATTTTATAAATAAAATACGGACTGGGAAAATAACTTATTGCTAAATATTGCCTATTATGGACTTATTTAACTATTTTTTTTACAGACAAGCCCTTAAACTGATGACTTGGTGAACATTGCCTCACCTCTTGTTCTAATTTAAAAGCAAAGTCACACAAAAACTTTTTTGCTCAGTTTTAAGCACCTGATACCTAGACCAAATTATAATTGAATTACTGTCATAACTTGCACTGTCCTTTAAATTTGGTGCAATGAAATTTCACTTTGGGTTTCAGTTAGCAGCCAACATCTATGTGCAAACATCATCCCTTAAATCCTTTTTTTTTTTAAAGTTATTTTTATATAGTGTGAAGGAGGCATTATTTGAAGTGGAAGTAGAATTTTGAGATTATTAAACTCAAAAATCCTAGTGCCCCCCTCAGTCTATTCTCAATACAGCAACCATATTTTAATATGTAAATCAGATCCTGTTACTCCTCTGCCCTGGTGTCCACAATGACTACCCATTTCATTCAATGTAGAAGCCAAAGTCCTTGAAAGGACTACTTTCCCATTGCTCTTTGGTGTCCTTTGTATCTACCAAGCATGTGAGAAAAGGGCTTTGGTCCCAGTCTGAGTTCTAGCTCAATTACTAGTATGTCTCCAAATGTGAGTTTCTCATCTACAAGTGGGAGTCATCTGTCCCACCTCCCTCACAGGATTAAGGTAGCAGTGCTTTTTAATCCTAAAGCCTTCTATAAGTATAAGGGTAGTTATAATTTTCAAATGTGACCTCTAAAACTTATCTTGTTTTGCTGGATTTTTTTTTTGCTATTTCTAGTCTCCTGTTTATGTATAATCAATTCAGACAACATTTAGTATGTGGCTTCTTTTATGCCAGGTACCCTGGGGATATGAGAGTAGCCACATCATGGAGAATTTGCATTCTAGAAGTGGTAGATGGTCTGTTAAAAACAAAAAGTGCATAAAATATTTAGGTGCTCCTATAAAAACAAAGCGTATATGAAGTACAGCTGGGAACAAAGGAAGAATGTTCAAATCTTCCGGGATTAACTAGGAGATGGGAGAAGGGGGCTCCATAAAAAGCTTTATAGAGCTGATCTTTTACTGAATCCTAAAAGACAGTAGGTGGGGTCAGGGAAACAGGTGAGGGAAGGAGAAATTTTCCTGAGCACCCCCGTCTCAGCCTCTTAAAGCACGCCCTGTATTTATCACAACTGTAATGAATTCCTTTTGTGGGTGATTATTTATTCATTTTTGGTCCCACTCATCAAATTTAACTCTACCCAGAGAGGATCTGTGTCTTTATTATTCATTTCTGGACCCTAGAGTTCAGCCTGGTGCTTAGCCCAGGGGAAGGGAAGGACCAGAGAAGGAAGGAAGTTCACGTCCCACGTCCCGGTTTCCGAGTCAGTCGGATTCTTTAAAGTCCCAGCTCTACCACTGACCAGCTGTGTGACCTTGAGCAAGCAATTTAACCCCTCTGTGCCTTAGTTCTGTTGTCTGTAAAACGAAGGTAATAGTAGTGGCTTTTTTTATAGGGTTGTTGAGGATTTAGGGAGATAGTCCTCGGAAAGGGCTTAGTACATTTTCTGGTGTGTGTTTTGGGTACTAATCCTATCCATCAAGGTTCTGACCACCTTAGGCCAAATTACAAGGATGCTCTTAGGACAAAATTAATATAAAAATTAGGATAAAATCTTTCTCTGTGTCCAACAGTTAAAACATTGAAGCATCGAAGAAACTGAGGTTTGTTTTGTTTTGTTTTGTGACTTAGATGATACATATAATGCCTGTAAAAAACTGCTTTCTCAGTTACTCAATTTGAAGGACACTTGTATTTCAGGGTTGTCCTTGGCTATCTTTCTGACCCAAGTGAGGACATTCAGGATCCAGTGAGTGACAAATTCTTCAAGGAAGTGTGGGTTTCAACAGCAGCTAGAAATGCTACAATTTATGATAAGGTGAGGTTCTTGTATTCCTCCCCAATTTTTTCCCACTGAATCTCATCACAAAAAGCATTATTTCTGCATATTATTGGTACAGAGTGTTCTTAATGAGTGTGAAAGAACCAGTTCATCTCCAGGTTGTAATAAAATATCTCTTTGTAGATACTGAAAAAACAAACAGTCAAAAAGTATCATCGATTTTGGTTTAGAAGAGGCATTAGCAACATTCTGATCTCTCATCTGATGCAGGAATCCCATCATGAGCATCTTAGCACATGGTTATCTAGACTTGAACGTGTCTAGTGACAAAGAGAAGAGAGGCATATGGGATGGAAAAATGAGTCGGAGCTGGAACCCAGCTCAGCCAGCTGCTGCTGATAGAACCTTGTGTGTAGTTACTTGACTTTCTGAGCCTTCCTTTCCTCGCCTATAAATTGGGAGGGATATTCACTGGGTGGTTATAAGGATGAAGAATAGTCTATTAAATGTCTTGAGCACATAGAGCATAGTAAATGGTATCTATTTTTATGATGAAACTTACTAATAACAAGACATGTCCTTTAAGGACAGCTCTAATTTTAGAAAGGGGATTTAAAACCAGCTCCATTTGATGCATACCAAATGCATCTCCTGATAAGTTTATCCATTGGTTATGATAAAAAATGTACAAGAGCTAAGAGTTGTCTAACAGTGGAACAGGTTATCTCATGAAGTAGCCAGTTTCCCACCATTGAAAATACTCAAGCTGAGATTTGCTGACCATCTATGAGAAATTGGGTAAGAGTAAGTTCTTTTTCATGACTTCCAGAGTCCCTCCCAGCATGTCAACTTTATCATTCTTAATGACAACTAGGTACGTAGCCTTATTTCATACTGAGGACTCAAGACCATGATCAAATAGGTCATGTTCATGGAGTATATTAATATGTCATTTTACAAATGCAGTACATAGCCTTGCTTGAGTCCCAGATTAGGAGAAAACAGCTATAAAAGACATTTTGGGGATGATAGGACAAATCTGAATATGGACTGTATCTTAAATTATGAAATCAATTTTCTTAGGTGTGAGAATGGTATTGTAATTATATAGACACATGTCCTTATTCTTAAGAAACACATGCAGAAGTATTCAGAGGTGAAGTGTTAATGATGTCCGAAACTCATTTCCAATCAGCAAAGTAAGTGATACATATTAATAATTGATAACTCTAAGTAAAGGTATGCATATGAATCTCTTTTTAAAAAAAAGTTAGAGAAAATATAATATGTAATTTTCCTCTTAGACCAGATCCTCCAGTGAAATTCAGGGATGATTATTACCTTTAAAAATTACCCTTAATGTGAGGTAACATCAGTGACATTTCTTACCATTAGCTTCACTTTATCCTGAGGTTAATGACTTGTGTAGATCAGATATAAGGATTGAGCTATGATTTTTTGGCGGAAGAAGATCTATTTGTAGCACATAAGAAAAGCAACTCTTAAATCATGTCTGTGCTATAACATAAAACTAATATGTGTTTCAGTCATTGTGCAGTATACACATGTACTGAAACAACACACTGTACCCTACAAAAATAAATATAAATAAAATTGGGGGGAAAAAACCCACTAATATGTGTTTCACAAAACAAAGGCCTTGTCTGTTGGAATGATTATTTTCCATAAGGGGCACGTGCTTTCTTTTAAACTTATCACTCATTTTCCTATTTGTGTTCCAATCAGGTGTTCCGGTGCCTTCCCAATGATGAAGTGCACAATTTAATTCAACTGAGAGACTTTATAAACAAGCCTATATTAGCAAAGGAAGATCCCATTAGAGCTGAAGAGGAACTGAAAAAGATCCGTGGGTTCCTGGTGCAATTCCCCTTTTATTTCTTGTCTGAAGAAAGCCTACTGCCTTCTGTCGGAACCAAAGAAGCCATAGTGCCCATGGAGGTTTGGACTTAAAAGACCTTATACTCGTTTGCAGTTCAAGGACTTCTACCCTGAGACCACGCTGCACACAGTGCCTTCCTGGAGACCTCACAGCCGAAGCCAGGCCCTATGCACTCTGCTATCCAACCCATGGACCCTATGAAATGGCTGGGAAGAGCTGAAGTCACACTGATGTAAGGACACTGAACATCAGCAAGGCTTTGTAATTCCTTCTGCCTATCCTTGTGAAGAGGGGGCTGTGTTCTTGTTGGTAGCATGCACTCAGTGACTTAAAACACATACTCAAATTCCATGACATACACCAAAATCCATTTCCTTTGCTAACAAGAATTTATTTGTAACTGTGATCCAGGTTGCCAAAAGTTGTCAGAACCCCCTTATGCTTTTCTGATCATTTATGCAGCCCATGTCTGCTGGACCTGCACTCATCTCGTAGTCCATACAGGCACTGTGTGAAATATTGTTTATTGCTAAACAATGTTGTGACACTGCTTCGTGATTCTTCGAGGTTACACGGGATGCTCCTGCCCACCTGGTCCTGAGGTAGTAGTGTTCACCTGACCAAGGACATGGTCATCATTCCTTTTCAGTCACTGTAAGAACGGGACAGACTTGGGTCTACACAGCAGCCTGTGTTAGACCCTTCTGATAACCTTGACACTATATCTTGACACCACCGAGCAACAGGAAGGAATTCCAATACTGAGGCAAAGATTTCACTTTGCTCCCAAAGACACTGACAAGATGTGTCCTTGTGATAGTGCCCACCTGACCAAATCTGAAAACATGCGTAGGAGATTTGATTACACAGCAACCAGATAAAACTCCCAGTATGCAGGCTTCAGAAACCTGCAATGTGTCAGTGGGGATTTGATCCAGATAAGAAAAGATTCCTTCTAGTAGTGTAAAATTTCCTGTCATCTTTAGCCGATGAATTGATTGAAATTTAAGTTTCTACATTTCAAAATCAAGCCAGTGAATACAATTTGTCTTTCAATAGAATCAGAGGCTTTGTAACTCCTACCAAGTTAATAAGTATGAGTCTAACTTTATTTGGCATTCAGCCTTCCAGCTATGTTATCTTTTTTTAAAAAAAAACTAATTGTAAAATATATGCTGCTTTGCTTACACGATTAAATATACATTATTAAATATAACATTCCACCAGAACTTCCGAAGAAGTTAGAATACTTTTTAATTCATATTGTCCTAGTCTCTGAATTGTTGTGGAAACCTGTTTTTCCTTTTTGGATTTTTGAGTACCTTTTGGTAGAGCAGAGCTCTAATTTTACTAAGCAGAACTGCTCTCACAGCCTGCAGAGTTGATGTGGGTTCCCAAAAGGCCTGTACCTGTAACACGTGGTACAGATACAGTCGGTGCAGGGATTACACGTGCCTGTGGGTTGCCTGGACAGAATCTCATTTGGGTAGTTCTTGAAAAAAGCAAGCACCCAATCCCAGTTTTCATGGAGCTAATATTCCAATTGGAAAGGTTAAACAAGAGCACAAAGTTGGTGATATGGGAAGAAACAGTGGAGAGAAATAGTGTCATGTCCAGGAGAGGATTCATAGCTGGAGAACACTTCACAAATGAGGTGGGATTTTATAACCAATAATGGAAATGAACTTTTGTATGAGTTAATAACTTATTTCTCATATGGCTGAAGATGGTAAAAGGACTTCATTCTATAGTAGCTGTAAGAAAGACATTTGCTATTTATAAAGGAAGTTTAAATCGGCATTTGAAGTATTGACTATGTGGAATATCTAATGATTTCTTATATTTTATTTTTAAATATTTTTAAAACTATCAACAAACTGGCTCTTGATTTTGTGCAAGGTGTTCCCATAAAACCATGAAAAATAAAGCCTGAAGGATCCTTTCCCTTTCCCTGATCCAACCACTCCTCATTTTATAGGTGAAGAAACTGAGGCTGCTGTTAGATGGACTCACTTAAATTCACCCAATTTATAGATGGTGGAACCTGCACTAGTGAAATTGCTGCATCCATTATTGGCCTCTCTTTCACTTCATCATTGCTCCAAGATGGAGAGATGCAGTAAATAGATTTCAGACAGGCTATCTCCGAGCTATTTTGAATCCTGTGATATTATGTGTATTTATGTTTTTGTATCCCCGTACTAGACTGTAAGCTCCATGGGGCAGGGATTTTACTGTGTTTTGTTTGTAATGTATCCCCAGCAAGTGGAACAGTGCCTGGCACATAAAAGATGTCAATAAATGTTTGTGGAATGAATAAATGAGGTGGAGGAGAAAGCTAATGAAATGAAAAGCTTACTGAATCACAGACGAGAAATCTTACTGCTGGTTTCTGTGGCAAGTTTCTTTTCTACTGCATCTTCTCAAAGGCAGGATGCTCACCTGCAAAGAGGCAACGAGATTTACTTGGAGGGATTTTGTGGAAAATTCAGTGCAATAATTGCCTCTTTTGCAGTAGCAGTTTACATAGTGCAACATTCTGCAAAAATCGCATGGGATGTGGACATGAGATGTGTTGTTTGTCTAATTACTCATCATCCCTGACACTATTACTACCTAACAAAAGCTTTATTTAGCTTTATTTTCAAAGCACCTTTGAGAAAAATTTTTGTCTTTAGGTACTCAAAATATGGACAGTTAATCTCTTCTGTGATAATTAGGGAAATTATAATATATGATGAATTAATGATCTTGCAGATGAAAACATCAAGCTGAGAAGTCATTTTGCAAATATAAGAATGTAGTCAGAATAGATTTCATACATACATAATGAAAACCGTGGGCATCTTTCTGCATTTCCTCATTCCTATTCCTTTAACCTCTGTCGCCAACCAGAACTCCTCCTTATTATATAAACCAATTTAGGGGACAAGAAAAAGTTCCCTGGAAAAACCAAAATTAGGCCTCGTCTGCTCAGGCTCCCATACAAGAGAACATAGACTGGGCAGCTTAAACAACAGAAATTTTTTTTTGTCCTAGTTCTGGAAGCTGGAAGTCCAAGATCAGGGTGCCAGCACGGTAGATTTCTGGTAAGGGCTCTGTTCCTGGCTTGTCAACAGCCACCTTCTCACTGTGAGCTCACATGTCAGGAGACAGAAAGAGCAAGCTCTCTGGTGTCTCTTCTTACAAGGGCACTAATCCCATCACCTCCCAAAGGCCCCACCTCCAAATACCATCACATTAAGGGTTAGGGCTTCAGCATATGAATTGTGGGGGTGGGGTGATACAAACATTCAGTTCATAACAGGCCTGGATAATAAACCTTCAGTTTAACTCAAATTTTAAAGTGACTGACAAAATATTATTGCTTTTCACAGAGGCCATCATTCTTTTTAACTTCCTTGATCTGAGGTGGCACTCGAGTATTTTCGGATGCCTGTCACCCTCTGTAGCAAGGGTAAAGAGGGCCCTTCATGTCTCCTCATCCCTCGCTACTCTCTCATATAAAATGAGCAAATGTTAAAGGATTTTAAATGTGCTAAGGAATACATTTTTATTTCCTTGGAAGATTCTTTGAGGTCAATTACTACTGGCGGTTTGGAGATCTAAAAATGAGTTTATTCTTGACTAGTCCTTGAGAAATTCTTGAATCTAGAAATTCACAGGAAAAAGAATTTATCAGCATCTATTAATAAGATGCAGATAGAAGAATCAATGGATTTGCATTATTTTTAAGGGGGGCAAGTGTCATAATATGATTCCTACTGGCAATTTAATTCATATGTGAGATGTTCCTGGCTTTCACTTGAGATTGGAAGTATTCATTAAAGGAATAAAAAATTTTATGGCTTAAATTTTTATAGGTTATTTTATTTTTCCATTGTACCATTTATCATTTTAAATTTGAAAACAGAAAGTAGTTAAACATAGGATAAATAAAAATTTATCACACATTTCTTAATCATTTTAAACTTTTATGTTTTAAAGTTTTAAGCTTTAAAGTCAGGTTGTATAACAGTTCAACAAAATATGGGCTTAATTACTTTGTCCTGTTTCCAAGCAGCTATAATTCTTCACTTTATTCTAGATAAATGCATTTAAGTGAATGTCATCCTAGCTCTGCTTGATGCTAGAAAATATAACACCGTGCCTTCATAATGTATATTCCACTCAGATTCATCAGGTAAAATGGTGTGGGCCAAAGGGACTGGTATTCTTCATTTTAAAAATTCATATCAGGGCCAGCCCGGTGGCGCACTGCTACAGTGCGCCGCCTGGGAGTGCGGCAGCGCTCCCGCTGAGGGTTCGGATCCCACATGCAGACCAGTTCCCGCTCACTGGCTGAGCGAGGTGCGGACGCAACACCAAGGGTTGCGATCCCGTTGCCGGTCCAGTCCGGTGCGGGCGCGACACTGAGGGTTGCGATCCGTTGCCGGACACGAAAAAAGACAAAAAGGAAAAAAAAAAATTCATATCAAATCACTTTGGAGCTGCAGTTGGAGCACACATGCTCTTGCACAGAAAGCGAGATGAACATTCATTCAGAATATTCAGATATTCTGGAGAGAACTCAGGCTTCTAGTCCCTCCTCTAGGGCAGGGTTTGGCAAATTAAGGCTGGGCCTCTTGTTTCTGTAAATAAAGTGTTATTGAAATACAACCATGCCCACTCATTTACATGCTTCATGACCATATGATCCACGAATTCTAAACTATTTACCACCTTTAAGAAAAAGCTTGCTGACCCTTCCTGTGGAGCAAGCAGAGCTATGTAAATAGCCAGTGTACTTCAAACAGATTTGGGGAGTTTTAAGCTCTGTCCATTCCAGGGCTCAACATTCTACAATGGGTTTATTCTAAGAACATAGTCAAGTCTTCTCAGGAATAAAAATCATGTGGTATTTGGTTCTGGAAAGAGGTGGTTAACTAAAGCAGGCTTCTCCCAAATGAGCATCATGAACGTGTGGTTGGAATTGCTTGTGACTGAAGAGCAGGTAAATGAGGATAAACAGGCCCAAGTGTCTGTGTTCAGAATGAGAGTGGTGAAATCAAGAAACTCAGTTTCCCTGGATTTTCCTTCCGTGAAGCATTGGAAATAACACATATGTTCAATTTTTTACTTCACAAGCAAAACCTGGTCTTTACCTGGTCTCTTAACTGCCTTTTTTTTTTTTAGATATTTTACATATAAATATTCATTAATCGAACAATCAAAATTGTGAAGTCAGCAGTGTCCCTCTATTTAAAATAAGATTCCTCACTGTGCACATGGGGTTTTTACAGAGGTGTGCTGTATGTCTGAGATGAAGACAGCAACGTGTACCTCTGGGGCTTTCCTCTGCCAACCAGTGTGTCCCCTGGCCCCAAGGTCAATTAGAGTCACAGCGTTCCTGCCACCCCAGGCCTCTCTCACTTATGAGGTGTGTGATATTATGAAATTGTATGATGTCCCCATCTCCTGGCAGTAAAGAGCTCCTAAATCCCTTGGAATTTCTAGAGAGATGAGTGTCTTTTGTATGCTAATGAGATGACTGGGGGCTGGGGACCCCTAGATAGCTTCAGGAGGGGGGCTGGTCTCTGGAAAGACCAAGATGTCATTAGAGAGCTGGGACTTTCAGCCCCACCCCTGACCTCTGGGGAGGGGAGAGGGACTGAAGGTCGAGTTGATCACCAATGGCCAGTGGTATAACCAGTCATGCCACATAATGAAGCTTCCACACAAGCCTAAAAGGACTGGGTTTGAGGAGCTTCCAGACAGCTGAACACATGGAGGTTCCTGGAGGGTGGCGAACCCAGGAACAGCATGGAAGCCCCAAGCCCCTTCCCACATGCCTTGCCTTATGCATCTATCTCTTCCATCTGGCTGTTCCTCTGTGTCCCTTGTAACATCCTTTATTTTAGAAAATGGATAAATGTAAGTAAAGTGTTTGCCTGCATTCTGTGAGTTGCTATAGCAAATCAATCAAATCCGAGGAGGGGGTCATGGGAACCCCTGATTTTATAGTTGGTCAGAAGAACATGTGACAACCTACTACTTGTGATTGGCATCTGAAGTAGAGGGCAGACTTGTGAGGCTGAGCCTTCGACCTGTGTGGCACTATCTCCAGGTAGCTAGTGTCAGAACTGAAGTAGAGAACACCCAGCTGGTGTCTGCTGGAGAACAGAATTGTTTGGTGTGTGGGCAAATACACACATCCGGTGTCAGAGTGTTGTGTTGAGTGACTGTATAAGAGAGTAGGAAAGAAGCGCTTTGGTTTTTCCTATATGTCACAAGGTGCAATGATACAGTGCTATGGCAAGCAGTAAGCACACGCTGAACAAGGCCAGTTGGGAGGCTGAGGTTGCATCAGTGAACAAGACAGACCAGGTGCCCCACCTTCGTGGTGCCCACATTGCAGCGAGTGGAAAGAACAAAGTTATTTCCAATCTCAAAATATGAACATGCCTGAAATAAGGGGCAATTGGGTGGAAGTGTGAGGATTTTCTCAACCTGGGAAGAACCGCAAAGACTGGATGGAGTATGATCAATGCTATTCTCTAAGGACACCAGAGCAGGAACCAGCAAACACCAATATTACTACTACCAATTACAATACTACTAACAGCTGATACCAGTGGCTTTGTTGGTCCTGGCCTCTTCCAGGCTCTTCATGTTTTAGTTCATTCAATGGCTCTATAGCTTGTGCTGTGCAGCTTGGGGAGCCAAACAAACACCAGTGCTCTCTGGATTTGGCCACGACCCTGAGACTGTCCTTACCTCCTTTTCAAGCCCCTGGAGACTTACGCACAACCCCCCAGACCCATGCGGTATAGGCATGGTACTAATTGGCAAGTACCGGTAGGAAGAGTGCAGGCTTCAACATTAAACACCTAAAAGCTCAGCCCTGCCAATGCCAGCAGTGGGACCTCCTTGAGCAGATGAAGCTCGCTGAGGTCTTCAAACACATGGTACTAAGGCCGTGAGATACTTAGGTAAAAGCACAATACCTGCCACATAGTAGGTGCTTTCTATCAGATCAGTGCTAGCTGCAGAAGCTGCCTTTCATTTACTCGCTGCAAGTGAGTCAGGGCATGTTGAAGGGAGAGGACACACACACACCCCAAGCCCACGCCCACGCCCAGACTTGTTTTCACACTTCCAGAGGCAATCAATCAAATGACAGCAATTTCCACATGGAGGTTCTAGCTGGAAGGAGGGCAGAGAGTTATCTCAGCGAAGAGAACACTAGGTGTTTTTATCTAATTCCTGCCCACGCCCAGACTTGTTTTCACACTTCCAGAGGCAATCAATCAAATGACAGCAATTTCCACGTGGAGGTTCTAGCTGGAAGGAGGGCAGAGAGTTATCTCAGCGAAGAGAACACTAGGTGTTTT